TCTGTTTTTAAAAAAATACTGATTTTTGCAATTAAATGTTTTTTTCTAGAAATTGAAATAATTTACAGCCAACTGTAAACACTAGGCTGACACATACCGATGGTTGTCATCAAGACATCTGCATAACCTTGAAGAAATCGAAATTAAAATTTTGAGTTTGTCTAATTCAGTAAATCTCATAGTGTTGCTAATCTATCCTTGACTGAACAAGTTAGATATCCAAATCAATAATGAGTTCCAGTTGATTGAGGTATCTATCTCTAACACTAATCTTGTCAGTTGACAATCTTGTTTTAAATTGGAAGAAGATAAATAATTAAAACCGATAAGACCTAGATGGTTAATTCTGATTGGATGTGTAACAGCTACTTCCTGCAACCCCTAAAGAAGCTATAAACTACAGAAACTATTCAAAGTTATTCAGCTTACTCAGAAGTCTCTAGAATATTGCATGATCTAGCGTCCAAATAACTGGTTAGATGGTTCCAGAAAAATCAACTATAACAGCTCTTGAAAGAAATGGAAAAGTATAGACCATTTGCATGAAATGATTACCAATGTAATTTACATGTCTGTTAACTTCATAATTCGCCTTCTTTGATTTTTACCTCATTCTCCATTTTCCAGATGATCAAGGGGAAAATAAAATAGGAACTGAAGATTTTCACACTCACTGATCACCAATTCAGGTAACATCAGTTTCTCTGTAGCACGCGGCAGCATTAGCTCACACGACGAGTGATGCCTGAACGACTACATTAAACATTTCCTGTTCACACAATATTTTGAAAAATGATACGTCTGCAAAGGTTGAAATTAATCCTTCAATAGTGACTCAAATAGTGTTGCAATGTATGCTTTCTCATTAGCGCAGACTGTTTAGGACAACACCAATGTTAACCAACTACTTATTTCGATCAGTAGTATGTATTGTGTAGCAATAAAAATTATGGAAAACTTGACATTTTAAACTGAAGTGTTATTTCTCACCAGAATACATGGGGAATAGAAACTAATTTTAAGCAGATTAGCTTTGGTGTGCAGAAATAGGCTACAAGCAATGTATAACCTATAGTGAGGCATCATCAGTACATAAATAATTGCTGTTTTGCTTCTGTCTACCATTTCTTTTATAAATGTCTAATTGTTTGTATGCATATATTCATATCTACGCCAGGACATGTTGCAGTGTCATATTAAGCAGTCAAAATGGTCATTGTTACCATCGTAGTGAGTTTGTCAGAAAGAGAATAAATCAAATCAATTATTTCGTTTGACAAGTACAGTCGGACACTGTTTAATATTTAATCATGGCTGTTATTCACTGCATAAAAATTACAGCCCTTTTGTTTTGTGTCAGACAAAGGATATAAAATGAATTCATTATATGAAAACAGCATTTATTACTGAAATACATTATTTAACAGTATTGGTTATTAGAGGTTTTGCATACTATTCAACAAGATTTTCTAACTTGATTTAAGTGAACTAGCGGTCAGACTGCTTTTTAAGCGATTTCGAGAGGAATGGACTGATGTTGTGGCTCACATACAATGGAACCAGGAAGAGGGAAGAAATTCAGGTGAACCATTTAGGATCCAAATCTCTCCAATGGAACAAACTAAATCACACTGATGGAAAAATATGCATCGTTTTAATAGTTTTCATGTTTAACTGACATTTATCAATGATTTGTGATGCCAGTAATATATGAATGAGAAACAAGGTAATCGCTCAGTCACATGGAATAAATATTCTTGATGAACTAAGTAAGGTAACCTTGAGAGCCACTGAGAACCTAGAAACACTAGATAGTCTTTTAGTTCCATTTTGAGTATCCTTATGGGTACAAAATTGACTGTTCAGTCATGTGGTGGAAATCTAATTTTCCGAATTTTCTATCTTTAATCTGACTGTTATCCAGTGTCATCAAGAAATATCAAACCATACCTAGGAGTTCCACGTTAAAAATTTTGAAGATTCATATCACAGCTTGTGAATAATAGGCACTGAATTATTACTTGACTATCTACTCAACCGACTATACAGGATATCTGATACAAACTTGATACAAAACATCATTTTAGTGTTAGACAGTAAGAGTCATTCAGTAACAATCTAACAACAATTACTATGCATTCTTTTGTCATGTTACCTGGTTTAGGAACTGAATTCTAAACCTGGTGGTTAGAATTCTATCAATACTGAGTCCAATCGATGACCAGTTTATGTAGAAAAGCATTTGTTCAATAAATTTACCTAAATTTCTTTTTAAGAGTAAAAAAGCAATACCATAAACGGAAGAAATACACAAGAGGATAGAAGAGATATGCTGCATTGGAAATGCTCATGTTTGAGGTATTGTAAACTTCTTTCAGTGCTTTCCTAGTTTACACTGTATCCCAAATTTGACACTGACAATGAGCAAGCATGTTGATTTAAGTCTAAAACACCTTATTTGTACAGTCCGAAACAATATGTGCCATTTTTTTCTTCACTATTCAACAAGAAAATGAATTTACCCCTTGACATGAAAATACTCTTTCCCGTGTCTGTCTACGTTGGATCAGTTTTTCTTCTGCGTACTTTATCTTTATTAATTACTGATGGCTAAAGAAATGTAAAGATCAGCATAAATGCTTTCTAACTATCCACGTTGTTCGGTATTGTCATTTTCCGTTTTCTCAACAACATTTTCACATCTACAATTACAGTCTGTGAACTTGATGGGAAAGTTGAACTCCAGTAGGATTTTTGTCTACACCGTTGTTGACTAAATCACTTAGACTTCATAAATATCAATGTGGATGTTGTAGTTTGTGCGTAATTTGAAGACTGTTCATCGACCTTAAAGTATGCTGAATATCTGAGTTGAGTTTGTCCTAGCATATAAATGATAAGCTGGATCCAGAAAGAACCAAGACGATGACACTGAAATTCATATATCAATGCGAGTGCTTTCTAACTACTATTAATAGCAGTAGTTGTTGTAATCTAATTTCGTTTTTCAAAGATTTCTTCAATAAACCATTTTGCTATTGAAGTTTGTTGTTTATTTCTGCTCTATGTATTGCCTCTCATGACTAGCTGAAGACAGATCTTTTCTTTATTCTCTGTAATGAATATTTCTTTGGATTTCGAGTTATTTAACTATCTCGTTTAATTATCGCTTCTGCTGTATGAGAGATATAGACTGTAAAGTCAGTGAAACTGCCATAATCTTCACAGTGAACAACCAGAACTATTGAGACCAACGTTTAATGTATGCATATGATTTAGTAGTACTTTAGGTATTGCTGAGACACTGGCGTAAGCGAAACTGTTTACAAATGTTAACTCTGTCCACAACAGAATATCTAGCATTTTTTGTCGTTACACAAAAATGTCAGGGAACTTTACGTACAGTTTAATTGTAATGATACAATTACATCAAATGACTTACAATGCCTAAGTAGTAACTTGAGCTTGAAATTACCGACATTCATACATTGGATGTGATGTGTATCACAAACCTCTTATACTATGATGCTTCACATAATTCTTTTCGTTGTCAGACTAATTTCATGGTTGAACAACTTTCACTGATAAGCTGTATATCTCATCCTAATTTAATATGCAAATGCTCTATATACATGAAGGTAGGTAAATGAAAACCAACAGGATCTGGTAATTCAGACCAGCAAAGTTAAAAATAGTGAAATTATAACACAAACAAGTTATTAATTACCCCACAGAAACCTATTTTGCAATCGAGGGTCTGAATGATGATTAGTTTCTGAAAATACTCATCCTACTAAGTCACGTTAAAGTTGGTTGATGTAATGTGATGCAAGTTGACTAGTCAGGGCCAAGGTATGAAACCATATATCCTCGAGTTTGGCCAACCAACTCAGATTCTTATAGTATTGATTGGTGAACTGTTTAAGTATAGTATGATACAGATACCTACAGTCTACCATTTCACACAACTAATTTAGCTGGTTTCATTTCATGATATTAGCTGTCTGCAAATCACCCAGATCACCCAACATCAATCAACTGACAAAGATAAACTCTTTGGCTGTAGTTAAATTATTCCAAGGTCAAACCTGTCTTTTAGGATAAACTGGTTATCCATGACACACTGAGTAGTCACTTCAGGGTAACCAGCTTTATGTTGTCTGCTTCAATGTGCCAATCGAATTCTATTGCTCATTTGCAGTCTGACTACCACCCTAGCTGACTCAACAACGCCATGCACTTTAATACATGTCATCTGGATGGCGGCAGTCAGCAGGAAGCTCTGTCGATTTGTTCAAAGTGTCCCATGTTCTGCTACAGGACTTATTTCCCGTAGCGGAGTCACTGACGAAGTAGTATAATGGCAGACATAGGGTTTTAGATAAGACGGACAAGTCAGTCAAGAAAGTGCACTTGTGTTCACTGAAATGGTTGATAGAGTTTTTTCACAGTGCTTGAGCTCACATTCACAGATATGTTGTGGTGACTGGATGAACTTGTTGTATAGAGGGGAGAAAAGCAAAACGTTATTCTGCACTACGCTAAGCTACTTCAGTGATTGATGTATCCTGGATACTAGAAAGCAGTGATCAGTAAGTCTACAAAATGACTCAGAACAAATATAAATGATGTTAGCAGATTCACAGATAACTTTGTTATCATTGCTTCGCTTTGATTTAGCTTTTTTTTCTTAGTTCACTTTACTCATTATTCTCGTATCTGTTCAAGAGTTTAGCAGATTAAACCACTGAAATACCATTCTCATTCTAACCAACTAACGAGTTACCTAACTGAATCATTAATAAATGTAACCGTGGCTTTGAGAATTCTTCCAAAACCATACAAACAAAATGACCGGTTGACTAAATGTAGCGGATTTTTTTATGCAACGTATTGTATTTCCTCACTACTGCAGAGGATGAGGAAAAACTAACATTTCTCAGTAGTAAATTCCATCATTTGAATCAAACTCAGTTTAGATAACGTTATATAGACCGGGTTTAGTGTTCTAGGAAGAAAAGGTTCTTATATACCTCCTTATTATTATGAACATTATCATCACAAGTAGTAGTAGTAGTAGTAGTAGTAGTAGTAGTAGTAGTAGTAGTAGTAGTAGTAGTAGTAGTAATAGTAGTAGTAGTAGTAGTAGTAGTAGTAGTAGTAGTAGTAGTAGTAGTAGTAGTAGTACTCGAGCATGAGAGTAAGACAATTCTGTTCCTAAGATTGTTGCTAAATCTCATATTTTTTCCATTCAAATATGTATTAGTGAAGTCAGGTTACTTCTTTCAAGACAATTAAAAGTCCTCATTGTGTGTCACAAAGAAAACACTGCACATCATAGATAAACTGATTTGAATGAGAACGGTTTGGCCCATTAATGTAAACCAGTACTCTCCCAAAATCGATGTGAGAATAATGTGCATCATTTTGTTTCTTTAATGGGATTCTACAGTCGGTAAGTGAATGACTGAATAGTAACATACATGTTAAAGTTTTACTTGCGAGTAGAAGTATTACTAAGATGGAAAGTGATAGCAGTACTTAAACCAGCCAGAAAAGAGTAACTGGTGTAGCTGACAGGTTCTAATCCCTCGATACTGATCAAAGTTCACTGACCAAGTACTTATAATTTCGACATCAACATACACCATAACTAATGAATTACTTTTATTCATAGGTGAAGTGAAGTTTGTTGGTTTGTTGGAGACAGTCGGAAGGAAGCCATGGACCTAGGCCTCGTTTCTGTTGAAATTCGAACCCATATCCCCCAAAATTACAGTTGGAGATCACCAAAAGATGGATTTTTTTCGCTGAGTGTCTACTGATATGAAAACAGTAAAAGTAATTTTTACTAATAACCTGAAGAATAAATTCGGACTAACTTCACGAAAACGTTCCACTAGCTTTATATATTAGATGAAGTTAGAACGAAGATTAAACCATTAGAATCAATTTGACAATTGCCACTCTAAAAAGAAATATAGTGAAGAGCGATCTAGGACCTGGAAGTTTTTTGAAGCAAAGAACTGTTTGCGTTAGATAACTGAAGCCAATCAGAAGATAGTCCAGTTCGATGTGATTTACTGTTTCTGATAATAATAATAATAATAATAATAATAATAATAATAATATCGGCCATATGGTGCTGAATAAGCGTCCTGTCAAGAATGAAGAATGAACAGAAATAAGAGAGTAAGTTTGGTGGTGACTGTTCATTCAGCCAGTACACAAATCTGCAATTCAAACTATGTGTCTGAGGAATACAAATATGATGTATTTTTGCCCATTGAAAAGTATATTTCCATCCAATGTGACATTTTTCTTCGTTTTGACATCAGCTTGACAAACGACCAGTTGGAACCTTTCAAAAATGTACAAGAGTACATGATGCATTCAGACGACATATTTAAATGATTTAAAACAAATTGAAATGAACAAATTTAATGTATATATACTTGGTGGAATTTTAGTAGCATAAGGCTACAGTAAGCTGCTGCTAATACATATGGAACCTTGAAGAAAGTGATGTCGTTTCGCAGATTGAATTCTACATCAGCCAATGATGAGAACAGAACTTTACTTTCATTCTGATTAGACCACAACTTACCTCTATCCTGTCACTTTGTTCAATGGTCATACTGTAAAATCTTATCCAACAGCTCCAGTTAACACTTGTGACTCTATGGTCACTGCACCAATCGATTGGCAAAAGACAGTTTTTATGAAGAAGGAGATGGAAATCCAGACAAAAGAACCTGTGACTCACTGTTGAAGGTATCTCGTAGAACATTGGAACGGTTACCAACAGAAATTCTAGCTCAGATAACAATTCACTTTGAAAATCCACAACTTCAGTTACAAATATTTTCCTCGAAAAATTCAAGTACATTTTTGTATTATGTGTAGGAAATCCCCAACACATAAAGACCAATACATTTTATTGCATTATATGTCTATCTTCAACCATCTCAAATTGAATACTTCAAGAGCACTGATAAGTACGATCATCCTAATACTCACTTTTGCTGCTTACTGCTAATTTGCAGGTAAATAAAATTCTACTTGCATACAGTATTAATAAAAGATGTAGTTTCATAATCAACAGATTATCTGGTTATCAGTTCCCGAGTAAAGAGAGTAGCATTAACTTCAAGATGCTCGATTTCATGAGTGTAGCACTCTACACTTGAATGAACTCAAAACACTTGAATCTATCATTCCACTGATTATTTTTCAAAATCATCTGCAACAATATTTACTCACGAATCAACCTCAAAAGTCGGATACTTCGCTTTAAGCATATTGCCATCATATAAGATACTAAAACGTTCAACTAACTAGTATTGATTCACATTGAGAATATCCTTCGATATAAATAATAAAAATTTTCAACAGGAAAGAGTTGCAACCTTGAAATTTAGTAAACGTGATTATTTTTCAAAAGAAATTTTACAAAGCAACTAAATATCGCGTGGAACACCCAAAAAAATATCTTCGAAAACAAAAGTAATCAGTACTCCTTGAAATGTAGTTTGAACTGTTATAATATCCCAATTTATTTATTATTATCCTAAATGATCTGCACCATTTGAAGTTGCTGAAACAAAGTCACTCAAGGTATTTGTAAGAAGATAGCCCTGCTATTAAGCCACCAAACTGATTACTCATGTTGGAAACAGATTGCCACCTAGATTTAGAGTAAACTGAACGTTCAGTTATGAGGTTTGTGAGGACTGATTGATTTCAAGGAGGTATTCCTGGTGAATCTGGAGAGTGAATGATGATACCCTCATCGTAAGACCTGAAGGTTCTGGGTTGACCTCTGGTGAGGTCGATGGTGCATAGTACTGAGGAGTCCCATTCTGGGACAAGGCAGATGACCAGTTCTCCCAGGTTTTCAATGATTCTACAACTGTTGTCAGTCCATGGCGGATACTACACTGAAACTGACAAGTTATAGCGTTCCACGCGCTGCAAGGGCAGGTAACTGGTATCGAAATAACATTTGTTTTAGGATTACTTAAGGCGAGAAAAAAACGTATTCGAAACTTTACCCTCCTTCAATATCCCTCACAAAACAATTATTTGAAATAATTTTTTTGAAGTCGTCATCTGAAAACTTTGTTCACACAGATAACTGTGTAAATTATACAAAAAATGACTTTAAAGACCAACCTGACAACTTAAATAATCAATTAGACTTCTCTATTTTATGAAAACCTGCCTTTCCAACCGAAATAGAGAAACCTAATTGGTCATTTTTATCCTGGCTAGGGTGGCCCTGAAAAAACACCTCGAAAACTATCATAGTTTCATCAGTACTGAGCCTCAAAGAAATTGGCTGAATATATGATACACCTCTCTATCTTTATGTCCATCTCCGCTCATTAATAAGCTGCATTAGTAAAACAATTTCGTTATCTAGCGGCTCATTTCTGCTAGACTGCACTGTTTTCGGTATACGTTATGAGTTTTAGTTACCTCTGCCTTTCTACCATCTTTATAGTTATGACCATTCTGACTGGCCATCTTGATTACTCTGATTGATTTTGTGTAGTGACTGGTTATAGGTTTTTGCCTATTCTGCATGTTGGGTAAATGGACTCCCAATTTAATTGATCATTTGTAGGTTATTTATTTGGGTCCTGTTAGTTTCCTTTGTGGTTAATTCAGCAATTTTCCCCCATGGAAGTGCCAGAATTGAAGATATTAATAATTATTCTATTTATTATCCGTGCTTGCTGTACCGCTTAGGTAATTTTGTCTTGAACCTTCGCGGTTCATGAGTCACTGGATAGAGTTAGACAATAACCGTTTTTACATTTATTACTCGTTATCCCTATTTGGTTTGAGCACAAATTTATTGAATGAAGTAAGAAATGCTATCAATAGCAGTGGCTAATTGTATAAATTAACTGTCATTTTTCAACACTCAGCTGTTTCCTCACCATACTGTGTTTTCCATTTTCAATCTTTCTTCTCAGTATCTTTTCTGAGATGCTAACTACTTCCTCATGACGTGAAATTAAAAGCTAAAAACGCGAAAATTACTGACTAATTGATTATTGTCTCTTCATTCATGTTTTTTAAGCAAGAGGAAATTTATCTTTAAGTAATAAATGCATGTTCCTCCTGTTCACCCGATGTCATACGGTCAGTGAACAAGCTGGAGTTCATAAACTGATTCACATCTTGAGTTTCCCTTAAAGGTGTTAGTCACATACAGCAACTATAAAAGGTCCTGCATTAGATCCCTGTAGGATGAATACAGTTGTAAACTTAAGTGTTAATTTAGAGGTAGTATTCGTCACGAACTGACACCAATTGGAAGAACACTGTAAACCTGGGAACACTGAACAGCTGTTTCGTCCTGGTATGGACTCCTCAGCAGTGCTCCCAGGTTTTCAACGGTTCCTCAACTAATGTCAGTCCGTTATTAATACTACTTCTAAACTGAAATTCCCATTCCTCTCAAAAGTACATTTTGCGTTAATTGTTTTAAAAAATGGAAAATTACCTCCACATTACCGATGTATCTATCACTAATGTCCTATACGCCTCTCTTATCACACAAACCCCCTACATTACCTTCTTGTAAAACTTCTATTTTACTCGTAAAGAGAGTTGATCAAGGATTCAAGTTAAGTGTCACAGACTTTAAGCTTCTTTATTTTGATTCGTCTATTATATTATTATCATTTATCCCTTGGATTCCTAGTGGAACATACAGCTCCAGTAGCACGTGTCCACTCCACTCTGTCCTCTGAAATATTTTGAACCTGGCTCCACGACAGCCCACAAGCTCTCATTTCCTCCTCGCACGATCTCCTCCATGTCACCCTCAGCTAGGACACCCAACTCGTAGTTTCCCATCTGGGTTCAACTCGAGTGCCTGTCGCGTGATGTCTCCGAATGTTCTTCTCAGTGTATGCCCAATCCATCTCCATTTCCTTCTGCATATTTATTGAGCGATAGCTTCTTGGTTGTTTCGTTCCCAGCCAGAGTTCCTTGTCGCTTATTCCTATTATTCTGGCCATCTGATCTTCAGTAGCTGGAGTAAGCAGTTGTTGATGAATGTCTGTAGTTTATTGCAAATCCATTTCGTAACGCGCCAAATCTCTGAACCATACAGAGGCACTAACTTGACATTGGTGTTGAAAATCTGGATCTTGTTCCACATGCTGAGTGCAGTGCAGAGGATCTCCACACTGGTTTCAGGTTAATGAAGGCCTGTCTTGCC